TATGTTGTAACACTTTCACTTAGACCCACCTTTGAAAACCACATATCCTCAGAAATGGCAGGAAGAACATATATACCTTTAATTTCATTACCTTTTTACCAAAACAATGCTTTTTGATAAAATGCTTTGATCTTATTTCTTGTTTTAAATATATTATCACTACTTTGGAGTTTCAGATTTAGCTCATTTATGGACAATGTCTGTCATAAAACCTCACTGGTAGGGCCAATCTTTTACTGTCAAACCAGTGAGTCAAATCAGATATACCTGTCAGAAAAAAAGTTTGACTTCATTTTTCAATACAGATAGCTATTTCGAGGAATATTATAAAAATCAATGAGAACTAAAAATATATCTTGTGAAACTGATCACTATACAAACAATCAAAATTAAAATGATACAGATTTAATATAATTAATTGTTCCATGCTTAAATAAGTTATAGAAACACTCTTTCTCATATAAAGCAAGAAGAATGATAAAAGGCCTGGTACATCTCCAGTAAAATTGTGTGAGGCTACTGAACACCGCTGACTGGTTTTCAAGAATAATTAAAGAACTAGTGTGAAAATCAGAAACACCCCTAATAATGTAATGGTTCTAGGCTGCTGATCAGTCTGGCAACACATATTTTTTGTTGTTATTATGAAAAAGATATTAAACATTTTATAAGATAAAATATGATGAGAACTTACTATAATTAAATAAGTATTTTATGCTATGGTTTGATACAATAGGTTTTGACAACTTTATTAACTAATGCACATCAAATCTGAAAGAACCACAAGAAAGTCTTTTATCCTTGGGTTTTATCCACTGTATCTTGTAAAAAAATTGGTATTCCCAAAAGGCGTTCTAGTTACACTCAAAATAATCAGCATTGCAAACCTGTACTGCTTTAGCTGTTCCAAGTTACTTTTCTTCCCAGTCAAGATACATTCTAGGGACAGATATTGAGATAGTGGAAAATAAATGTTTACAATTAACTACACAAAAAAGCTACTTTTTGTGTTCAATGTCTCTCCCTAATTTTTTCTTTGTTTCACTCTCTCAGGATTATCCTCAAGAGCAAGACACTCACTGACAAGAGTCAAGAGGAGGAGGAGGAAAAGATGTTAAACAGAAATTGCCATTATTCCCCTTACTCCATATTACCATATATCTGAATTCTGAAAATCCATGAGTCCAAACACCTCATTTCTATCTAATCTAACATCATAATCACCTTTAACATGTGCATAATAAGGGAATGCCCAAAGCTCTGTGGATTTACGATTAATCATTAAAGGAACCTTGCTCTCTGTTTGCTATACCTGGGGTTTTGGTGTCATAATAAGATTTGGAATGCATAAGACTCATATTTTTTTTTATGTGTAATGTGGGGAAAGGACTGTTATGAACACAGACTTATTCTTAGCAGATCAATTTTAGGGAAGAGTACAATATATACAGGGGATCTGGAAATTAATCCCCTTAAAACTATCCATGAGCATGTACTCCTTGGAAAGCTGTCACATACCTTTAGGCACATGTACCCCAGTTTGAAAATCATGAATCTATCATACCCATATATAGCTTAACCTGACCCAACCTAAGATTTTTTACCATGGGATCTCAGTCTCTGGAGGAGCATAATCAAAGAGTTCCAAAGAGGGCCCAGAGAGGTGCAGATGGAATTGCAGCAGATAGATTTTGCAATCAGTATTAAGGAGCCTGTTTCCAGTCTAGTGTTCACAGTCCTGCAAGTGTTCCTGTTATCAAACCACGGCCCTTTGATGGTGAAAATAAGCACATCACCATCCCCTCAAAAGCAGAGGACTGGTTTTTCAAACTGCCATGCCAACAAAGGCAGGCAGTTGATGTAAATGAATTAAGTAGACAGGGTGTAAGAAAAAAGGTGAGGATTGGACCAAGAAGAGGCATGCCTCATCCTAAGGTGCAGGCAACTGTTAAGCTCCAACCCCACTATTGCTAGATCTTCCACTGTTCCACCTCGATTTTCATGTGAAATCTTCCAACCTGTAAATGTCGGCAATTAAATCAACATTTTAATAAAACATGTTGCACGGCAGGCAGTTGATGTAAATGAATTAAGTAGACAGGGTGTAAGAAAAAAGGTGAGGATTGGATCAAGAAGGGGCATGCCTCATCCTAAGGTGCAGGCAACTGTTAAGCTCCAACCCCACTATTGCTAGATCTTCCACTCTTCCACCTCGATTTTCATGTGAAATCTTCCAACCTGTAAATGTCGGCAATTAAATCAACATTTTAATAAAACATGTTGCAGGCAAAACAAGTCTACAGCTTATATCTGGTCCACGGCTGTTGGTTAGCAATCTCCACCCAAAAGCAACATGGTGATATTTTTGCCTCTGGTGCAAGAACAAAGCAGTCTTTAATCAAAGTTTGGGTCTCCTGCTCTGACTCCAGTTAGCTCTCCAATTCTCAGCTCTGCCTCTGCAGTTATTAACTCTTTACAAGTCCACAGCTGATACTCACACAGGAGTCCTGAAAGTTTAAACTGATGTGCAGGGTCAATCATTTAATACTTCAGACTTTATGGAGGCAGAGGGGTTGTAATCAGCGAACACCATAATCCAAAGAGTTGGACAGAACTTTAGACATCACCAAAGTTTGGGTCTCCTGCTCTGACTCCAGTTAGCTCTCCAATTCTCAGCTCTGCCTCTGCATTTATTAACTCTTTACAAGTCCACAGCTGACACTCACACAGGAGTCCTGAAAGTTTAAACTGAAGTGCAGGGTCAATCATTTAATACTTCAGACTTTATGGAGGCAGAGGGGTTGTAATCAGCGAACACCGTAATCCAAAGAGTTGGACAGAACTTTAGACATCATTTATTCCAGCTTCCCTGTTTATCCAGCTTCCAATAACATTCTCTAAATATTCCTTTCAGGGCTGATAGCACATTGATTAGTAAATGGAAGCCGTGTAACCAGATGTTATAATTCCTACGCCCTCAGTCTATGGAGCATTCTCTAAATATTCCTTTCAGGGCTGATAGCACATTGATTAGTAAATGGAAGCCGTGTAAACAGATGTTATAATTCCTACGCCCTCAGTCTATGGGACTCCAAGGATTGTAAAAAGTTTTCCAACTGAAAGGAGAAACTATGATTCTAGTTTCAGCCCTTCTTACTTCCAGCTCCTGGCCTACAATTACACTGAGCCTTTTAATTTCAAGTAGTGTGCTGGTTTTAAAATATGTCTTTAAATTCTTTGGTATTTCGCTGTTCAGAAGATAGAGTTTAATTCCCTTCCTCCTTGAAGTCACTATACTTAGTGACTTGCTTCTAATGAATAGAATATGATAGATGATGATGACTTCTGAGAACAGGTCACAGGCATTTGGCTTGCTCCCAGCTCTCTCATATTCTTCACTCTTGAGGAAACCAGAAGTTAGGAGGACACTTAAACAACCCTATGGAGAGGCCCATGAATAGAAACACTGAGGCATCTTGCCAACGCTCATGAAAATGAGCCATATTAGAAGCAGATTCTTCAGCCCCAATCAAGCCTTCAGATGACTGCGGTCCCTCCTGACATCTTGACTGCAACCTAAAGAGAGATCCTGAGCCATAACCACCAGCTAAACTGCTCCTAAATTCCTAAGCAACAATCTGTGGGATAAGAAGTTTGTTGTTTCAAGATGGAAAGTCTGGTTGTAATTTATGTGGTCATAGATAACTAATACAGACAGGCACAAAGCAACCCAGGCTATACCACCTCTAGGGCTTGGCCTCACCACCTTTCTCTGTTCCCAAATTAGCAATGGCAAGAAGGCAGGATGTATCCCCTCACAGCTTTGAAAACCCTACATGCGATGGGGGCCTTTTGGGGGTAAGGAAAATGGGATTGTTTACAAGTTGAAAGGTATGTATGTTTAAGGAGCCCTTCCTTCCAGAGTATGCAAAGAAGTGGTGGTTATCTCCATTTTAAGAATTTTCCTTTAGGTTGAACAAATTCTGATTATCTGGTAGACAACAGGGATTTAGTTCTGCCCTCAGGCCCCTTTCCCTCATTAATTTTAAAAGTTGAGGATAAATAGGACACTTAACCAAAATGTGAGACGTGTATTAATTTCAAATTAAACTCAGTAACCCTCCAAATTAAAAGTCTGTCCTCACACAGACACATGTATCAAGACCTAAAATTTCTCAGAGAGCATCTGATGCCCACTCTCCAGAGGCTGAGCTCCTAGTTTGGGGACAATAATACCTTTAGCTCCTCTTCCTTCTTCTCTGGTTTTTATCTCAGAAGTCGTTCCTTAGCCTCTGTTCATTCAGGTGACACCCCAGCATCTGAACCCAACCAGCCAATTTAGCAACTTGTATGTAAACCAAGTTAAAGTTTCACTCCCATAATGGATGAGGAGAGACCAGCATGCATTTCTTATGCTCAGGGAGAGCATAAATCCCCTGAACTGCCAGGTTTCAGTGTCGCATGAGACCTCCAGAGGTGATCTTATCTAATCACGTGCTAGGCTCCAGAACTGGGTACATACGAATTAAGTTTTAATGACTTAAAATTCTATTTCAAATCTTTGTCCTCTCACAAGTTTAAGCCTATTGTTTGTGTAGAAGTGCAAACAGTCCATGAAGAAGTGAGGTCAGTTATCTTTTGGTTGGACAAAGAATACTACAGAGTACATCTCAATGGCAAGGAGTAAGAAAGAATATGTTTTGACGTATGGGGGAAGCCCTGAAAGGGAGAAAAAGTAGAAATAAAAGGATTTGGTCTAGTTCTCCTGTGTCCAGAGGCAGCTCTGCAAATACCATCTTAATGAGCCACTGCCTAGCCCCTAATCTCATATAACTCTCAAAAGGGAAAATGCATGAAAGGCAGGGCTGATTCCATCTCTTTTGATATTTGTCCTTGGGTTTCCTGGCCTGACTTTCGGGGCTCTGGGAACATATGAATTAGCATGAACCAGTGAAGGCATCCAAAAGTAGGTCTCTTCAATGATGAGCCAAATCAGACAATTACCTTACAGCTTGCATATTTATTGAACAAATACTACTAAAATAGCTAAAATACATTGGGTACTTGTCATGAGTGCGTCAGTAAAGATCACATTGTTACAAAAGCCTGCATTTCCAGCAGTACACAGCTGCAACTCTACATAAATGCCACAGATGCAGAATACTGTTTTCTTGCTCTATTTACACAACTGATATTCCTATTCTAACAAAGGAGGGAGGGGGGAAATGCACAAGAAACTCAGGCCAATGGGGCAGCGAGAAGAGAACGAAGAGGTGCCGCGCATGCGTCATCAGTGTTTAACAGTCAGAAGCGGAACAGTTCAGCACAAGGCCTGCCCTGTCAAAGGAAGAGCTAAAAGACAGTTATATAAAAATTAAGGTGGGCTTTCAGACTGGCTAACACAACAACATTCCATGAGTAGATGGTATTATCTGATTTTAGTTTTGTTTATCCATTTCTTTGGGAGCAAGGACAAAAATGTAACATCTACACTTTGCTTATTGAAACCGCCAAAAAGAGTGCTCTGCCTTTTTCATTATTATTATTATTTTGTAAAGACATTTTTTTCCATCTTAATTTGTGAGAAAAGTGTAATTTTCATATTCCTATTCAGATGACAGTGTTTCAGATTTTTTTCAGAGGGCATTTATTAAAAAAAGACTTTGTACTTTTTTTTTTTTTCAAATATCCTTTTGAACAAAATGAACCCAAAGAGACACCTCGAAACACCTGGAAAATTATTGCTTTTCTTTCTCTAAGTCAGGCAGGCGTGGCTCCAAAAAGGAAGAGATTTGGCAAGTAAATTACAGTTTTGTGATTGCTCCCACTGCCGTGACTGCATGTCCATGACTGCCAGCCAAGGAGACCACGGTCTCTCACACTCTCTGGTAGCATCACTCAGCCTACAACACTGAGGAAGAAAGCCACGCTGAAGACACAAGGAAAACAAGTCAATCCAGTCTAGAGAACAACATTCAGGGAAACAGAGTACCAACACCTTCTTAGAACACAGAAATAAAAAATAACTCCATCAGAGCTACCTCGCCAAGGAGCATGTTGAAAGTCCAAAATAGCACCATTCATCAGTGTCTCAGGTCCTGTGGCAGCATCTCGGTCACTTACCACAAGGAAACAATGAGTTTCAAACTACTTCTATACATCAAAAGAGTACATGGATAAAATATAGAGATATACAGACAATTGATGAACATAAACTACTAGGCTTGTTACATCTAAATGAAAAAAAAAGGGGGGGGGACTCTCAGCCTCTGCGAGAAGCAGTCAGGAGCTGTGTGAATGAGAAGGCAGGAGTGGACCGGTCATGTGAGCACGGTGGGAGTTTGAGTTGTGGAAGACATTGTTGTAGCGAACCAGGCCTGAAGGCCCACCTGTAAGGGTTGTAAACGTGGATTCACAGTGTGAAATTCTGAGCGTTTTCACTTGAGTTAGAATGATTAAAAACTGGTTTGATGATACCTATTTGTCCACTGTAAGTTCTCTAAAGCAAGGCTCAGAGTCCCATAGTTTCTTCTTATACTGGATGATTTACACAGAAAAAAAATCCCATATATGATACCATGATCTCATCAATACCCATACACTGCATGTAATACAAATGGAGGTGTTACGATTAAAAAGAGTGGAGGTAACTGATTCTCGGGTAGCAGAGTTCATGGCTGCCCAGTGGAGTCAGGGAGGCAGCGACGGTCTTGTCATTCTTCTTGCGGTTCACTTCCTTTGGGACAGGAAGTCTTCCCTGCAAAGCAGATGGACCCACAGACACATACACACACACACACAAAAAAAAGACAAACTTAGTCATGTTTCCAAAACCATGTTTTTCACAATTCTGCTTCTCCCACCCCTTTTTATCTTTGAACTCCTGCTGTTTTGCAAACAGGGTTTACATATTAAACACAGTTCACCTGAAAGTAAACAGTAGGTCCGTGGGAGCATGAAGTAATCAAACATTAGCTTCCTCTGCTCCTGTAGAATCAAGGGCTTCTCTACTGGTGGGGCCCAGCCATTAGAGGCAGCATTCCCCTGAATCAGGTTTCTGGGGACAGTTTCTAGTATCAGGGCCCTGCATCCAGCTGGGTGACAGGTGCTGATGTGTGTTACCAGATAATTTTTGCTAAAAGAGTTTAGTGGATGTGATGAAGAGAGACAATACTCTGTTTTCCAATACATAATAAAAAAATATTTTAAAACAAATCAACTTGCATAAATCTTACCTATATATAGTTTACTCTATAAGCAATTGGCACATCCCATGTGGGCCCTAAGGTCAGAACCAGAAGTGGGTACCAAAGATGGGAGTATTTGGGAGGGAAATAATGTGAGGGGCTGCACAGTGGTTGCAGGAAAGAGGAGGAGAGTGGGAAACCAAGGCCAGAAGAGAGCGAGACTCAGCTAGTCTGAATTGCCTGGACTATTCTTAGTCTTTCCTCACAGTCCTGGTTTCTGACTAGAATACTCCAGTCTCAGGTGGTGGCTCAGATGATCGGCCACCGTGCAACTCCCCTGACACACCGATGAGGGGCAGCCACGGAGAGCAGCTCTCCACCACAACCAGACAGCAAGAGGACAGCACCATGAGGCCCACTTGTCCAGTGATATAAAATAAAGGTCTTAATTCTCCACAAATAGATTTTGTACCCTGTTCGGACATAAACATAGCAAAACCTTGACAGCAGTCTCTCTTTTAGCAAACCATTAATACACTGGAAAAACCTCCATTAATTACTGGAGTTTTCTTGGGAAAAAAATTATTTGTGGTTTTAAAATACTTGTTTTTGTGGTTTTTTTTTTTTTCTTTTTGCTCAGGTCACATGTTCTAACAGAACAGTTTTAATATGACAATTTGACTAGACGTAAGTATGTGGATTAAAGTGAAAATCTGGGCTAGCCAGTTAGCTCAGCTGGTTAGAGGTATGGTGTTAAAACACCAAGGTCAAGGGTTCAGATCCCCGTACCAGCCAGCTGCCAAAAAAAAATAATAAACGAAAGTTAAAGTGAAAATCTTACTTTGTGATCTGTAAATTATCTCATTTGAATTTATTTTTAAAAAGAATTCAGAAGTCAGGAACTTCCACAATTGAAACCAAATAACTATTTCTAGCAGCCCCCAAAGGAACTAAATGCAACAGGTAATTCAACTTTAAAGTCTTATTTATTGTATAGATTTTCCATATTAAACATCTGGTATGCTTAAAGTTTGTGTTTAAAAATCTCAGACTTTGAGAGCATACAACATTTTTAGGATGTATATAAAATCCACTCAGTACATGCTTTAATGCTCCAGTCTTAGGCTGTGATTTAAAGGCTGTTTTGGTATCATTAAATAGCAATGGTACCAAACCAGAAAATTAAAATATAATTCATCACTCACACACACTTAAGGATCTAGATAAAATTTATAAAAGCATCATACTGCGCAATTCTTTGCAGCTGTGAAAATAATTTCAATCTTTAAACTGTGGTACACAGTCCTAACATTTTGAAAAAGAAATCTACTGTAATCCTGGTGTCTTTAAAATAATGTCATTCCCTACCCCCACCCCACATTCTGCTGCACCCCCTTCCCCAGAATGACAAACTTAGGTTTTAGACAAATGACAAATTCAATATCTATTAATTGTCACAGGCTAGGAAAATCAAAAGATCATAAATGCTATCTCACTCAACAACTACACTCTTTACACAGCTGGCCTTAAAACTGCCTCTTTCAGACTTACCTTTTTCAAAAGTGAATATAAAGAACATTAATCAGTCTCTCTATATATCTCAGTTTTACTAATGTTTCACCTCCATGAAAAGTAAACAACAAAACAAAATGAAGAGCTGGAGATTTAGGAAGACATACTTAAAGGGGGAAAAAAAGGCAGGGGGAAAGATCATTTCAAATTTTAATTTACCATTTTTACTGTTTTTTTCTCTTTTGAGGTCCCAAAATACTCATGCCATGTTTTCATTCATTATTCATGTTCTGAGTGCCTGTTATGGCTTGAGCGCACTATTAGGTTTTAAGCCTATAGAAACAAAAGCAGTCCCTGACCATCCTGCCCTTAATTAAGGAGACAAGTAACTGGAATATGGGAAGGCCATGATGGTAAATCATGCTGGAGACCTGCTCCTGAAGCACCGTGTGGGGCCCACAACCCAACATGCCTGCAGGGAGAGGAGCCCCTGGGGAAATCAGCTCTGCACATGCAGTCCTGGATTTACTAGATTTCAATCCTCCTCCCTGCCCCACTTCCATTAAAGAATAGTCTTTCTGCCCTCGCTGAAGGAATTTTAGGCTCCTGCAATAAAGGGAGGAGGTATGTTGAAGAGGGGACACAAAGACATCTTATTTCTCCAGAAGTCAGGCTTTACAAGAATTCAGGCAAAAAGCATCCTGTCTTCCTCCATTATCTAGCACATAATGGTTCCTACAGGACTGAGAAATTTGAGTAATCTAGAAGGCTGTGGGTGCAGGGTCGGGGGAAGGACAGATGTGTCCAGTGTCTCCCGCAGACTGGCTCTCCTAGATGTCACTCCAGTTGACCTGCCTCAGGGCGGATGGCCTGCCCTGCTGATGACTGCTAGAAGACTAATCCCCAGTTACTCCATAATGTGCTTTGGACCAAGTCAAGTCAAAATTATTTTTCCTACCAGTATGCAAAGGTATGCTTTTCCAGAAAGAAAAGGCTGGAAAAAGGACAAATATATTATGCTTAAAATACTATTCAAATACTTAGGGAGGACAAAACTTAAAATAGCAGAAGACCTCAATCCCAAGATCCACTGTACCCACTCTCTGGAGCATGCCCCAGTGTAGTCAAGACCCAGCACCTGGGCTGGCTTTCCAAGAGGTAAGGGAGGCACATTGACCTCACTGAGGAACTTCACCCAGTCTTGCCCCTCTGGTTGATGTCATCAGTATCAAAGAGAGGCCCTTTGGATACCTGAATGAGGCAAGAACTAACAAAAGGTTATACTGTACTTTGTTTTCCCATCTAACCCTCAGGGGAATTAAGCCCTGATCTGACCAAGCAAAGACTATCTAGGTTTATACTGCTGCTGGTGGTGGGGGGGGGGGGGGGGGGGGGGGGGGG